TTCTGTATGTGGTGTTCTGTATGTGGTGTTCTGTATGTGGTGTTCTGTATGTGGTGTTCTGAGCTGCCAACTTAAGGGTTGTTGAGCATGCATCAGTAAATGCTTGTCATGTTTATAAGGTAGTAACTTAGTCTGAAATGCTTAATATAACAACTCTACATGAAATATATAGGTGAACAGATTTGGCTCACTATTTGGCAAGAAACTGATCAATTTTGTAACTCTGTCACCCTTAATTAAAGTATAATAAGCAGTTATTAACGATTTATAAATTGTTTATAGAGGAATTAATAACATATCTATAAACCATTTATTAACCATCTATAAGGAGAGCATTATTGTAAAGCGGTTTTGTACTCATAGTCCCAGTTACACACAATAATAGCTAAAATATAATGTATAAAAATAAGAAACTGTATATAAGGATCTAAGATATACACTACACTGGCTGTAGGCTGCACAGCTGCAGAAGGAAAAGCTTTGCAGAGAGTGGTGAGGGCTGCACGAAGGTCTGTCGTAGTCAGCCTCCCCACCATCACAGACATCTACACCTCTGGATGCAGGAGGAGAGCCACCTGCATCATGAAGGACCCCACTCACCCAGCACACACACTTTTTGCCCCGCTCCCCTCAGGAAGGAGGTTGAGGAGCATTGGGTGTGGAACCACTGGACTGAGGAACAGCTTCTACCCTGAGGCTGTTGGACTCATGAATCTCTAACTAGAATAATCGCTGTGAAGGATCACATCATGTTGCTGCTGATCTGTTTCATGTTGCTGCTGATCTGTTTCATGTTGCTGCTGATCTGTTTCATGTTGATGTGTTCATGCGTGCTCATCTGCTCACACAGACTCATGTTCATGTTTGTGCTGATGTTCAATGTTTTTGTGTTATGAGTGCTTAGTGTATATTTAGTTGATGTTTTTCTTGGTTCATATCTTAGATGTTATTACTGTTTTTCTTATACATTTTATTGTTGGATGTAACTGGGACCCTGTGTACATACAGGTCCTTCTCAAAAAATTAGCATATTGTGATAAAGGTCATAATTTTCCATAATGTAATGATAAAAATGAAACTTTCATATATTTCAGATTCATTGCACACCAACTGAAATATTTCAGGTCTTTAATTATTTTAATACTGATGATTATGGCATACAGCTCATGAAAACCCAAAATGCCTGTCCCAAAAAATTAGCATATCATGAAAAGGTTCTCTAAACAAGCTATTAACCTAACCATCTGAATCAACGACGTAACTCTAAACACCTGCAAAAGATTCCTGAGGCTTTTAAAAACTCCCAGCCTTGTTCATTACTCAAAACCGCAATCATGGGTAAGACTGCCGACCTGACTGCTGTCCAGAAGGCCATCATTGACACC